AAGTTTCAGTCGTATGTTTCCAAAACTTATTGATATACATACCCTTTCGCAACAGCAGTTTCGGCTCTGTCGCCATGTCCCTGGACAGTTCTTTGAAGTTCCATAGCTTGTATTGTCCCCCGCTCATATCATCTATGAATACGTCGCTAACTTTAGGATGAGATAGTCTATCCAACATAGGCCATGGCTGCTGACTGGAACTTCCTGAAAGTCATAACCTAAAGTAGTTCAGCTGCAATTCAGCGTCATAGAAACTATTGAAACCCAGCCAATTCCCTATCTAACGAATTACACTATTCCTAAGTCTAATGTGGCAAAAACCACCGGCGACTGTAGTTCTTGCTTCACATGAGCAACGCCTTCGTAATGAGTCTCGAAAACTGTAGGGCGACGGGGGAAGCTTCTCACGTTGTTTCCCAATACTACGTCATTACCTGCTCGCGTGAAATTCGCTGGGAGCATAGTACCTATTACCTTCGTCGTCCTTCCCCGATTAAGCCCAGTCTTCTCCTTGGGCCTAGCATACGTGCGTTTCTAAATGTCACTCAAAAGAGTTGGTACTACAAATCTGTACTGTCAACACAAAAGTTGAAAGTCGATATGTTGCTGCAAAGAACTGTATTAAGAAGGATTTCACACTCTGCCGTCATTGTTACTATATCATTATTATTCTCCTGGGTTCCTAGTCAAACATACGGCTTCAGTAGCACACCTACATTGCACTCTGCAATTCTCTGCAGTCTTCTCAACCTGGCTCCACCACTGCCCGAAAGCCTTCATTTCCTCCTCACACCATCTCATCCATATCACCCTCACCTCGGACGCCCAACTCGTCCTTCCCCATTTGGATCCTACTCTGCGGCCTGACCTGACCTGGTGCGTGATGTCCTCTAACGGTCTTCTCAGTGCATGTCTAATCTAGTCCATTCCATCTCCACTTCCTTCTTCTACATATTTGTTGGGCGATGGGTTCACGGTTGGTTCGTAGCCGGCCAGCCAGAGTTCCCTGTTGCTTGTTCTGGCCATCTGATCTTCAGCGTCGGTATCAAGTGAGCGTAGGCGGCAGCTGCTGATGCGTGATGTCTGTAGTTTGTTGGAAGTGCTTTTCGTGACGCGCCAGGTTTCTGAACCATCACTTAGAAGCACTGACTTACTTGACTGAATTAGTGTCGAAAATACGGACCTTGTTTTTTATGCTGAGTGCAGTAGATCACCCCACTGGTTTCAGGTTAATGAAGGCCTGCCTTGCTGTCCTTCTTATCCTGGCCTTGACTCCCCCGTCTGTGCCACCACCTGTAGTTAAAAAGATGCTACATGGGTAAGTGAGAGAGGTTACTTCCTTTCGATTCCCACCGTTGATGGTGATTGGTGTTTATTGTTGTCGTCGGTTGGGTATCTTCACCCACTCTGCCTTCTCTGCGTTCACTCAAAGTCCCGCCTCCACTCTCCTGCCTCTTCAGCCAGCTCGTCAGTTTTCGTCTGTAAATCCTTGTGTTTGTGCGATATTATAAGGACACAAACCATCATCGGCGAAATCCCAATCTTCTAGAGCCTTCTATTGGTCCAGCCACCGTATGCCTCTCTTCTGACTCCTTTTAGTTTGCTGCATGATCCAGACGGGTCGAACGCGATTAAGAAGGACATTGGTGATAGTGGGCAACCTCGTCTTACACCTGAGCTCTCCACTGTGAGTCACTTGACACGCAGCGTCATTCAGCATACACCTGCTGAATGTGCCTTATAAAGATTCGTCGCATTCCGTAGTGTTGAAGCAGCAGCTGCCTGCTTCTCGCTGGATGAAGCTAGGGTGATGTAAAGAACTGAGTGCCATTCTATGCTCTCTCCTGTGACGACACTGCAATTTGATCCCCACATGATTTGTTCTTGCTGAAGCCAGCCAGCCAGCAAGCCGGCATTATGCAGCACAATATTTTGCTTGGGGTGGGCAGGGGTGGAATATGATTTCACCCCAGCTCTTGCAAAGACTTGGGTCATCCTTCTTTGGAAGTCTGACAAGGTAGCTCTTCTTCCAATCAGTCGGTAGGTTCCTTTCCTTCCTTCCTTCCAAACCTTCTGCAGTAGTGGTATGAACGTGTCTGCTGTTGCCTCTGAGTCTCCTTTCAGTGCTTCCCGAGAAATTCCATCCGGTCATGCTGCTTTTACGGATTTCAGTAACTTAATGACGTTCAAGCTTTCTGCTTTTCTCTGAGGGCTTGTGTTAACTGGTGCGTCTGCGGTTGGGCTACTGTAATATTTCTGGACTAGTTGCAGCTGTTGTTGTTGTTGTTGGTGGTGGTGGTGGTCAATTCAAGAGTTTTTTGAAGTGGTCAGCTCATCGTTTCCTTTGGTTCCGCTCTTTGACGGCACCTAGGTTCCCTTCACTATCTTCCATTGATTTCATCTGCTTTGATCTCTTCACCATCCCCCGGATAATAACCTGGCTATTTGATATACTGCTGTCAGGTCTCTGTCTCTCCTACCTGCAGCCTGTTCTGCTTCACTTGCCAGTGTGTCATGGAGGTGTGTTTTATGTTTGCGCACACTCTTCTTCACTTCTTTGTCCAGTGTAGTGTTTTATGGGTTGTGTTCATTTCTTCTTTTCGGTGTTCTTCCCTGCCTGCACTGGTTCATCTTCTGCTTCACTATCTTCCTCTCCCCCCTCTACCAGCATCCATGTGTCCGTCAAGATCCATTCCCTATCCTGTTTTTTCTTCCTTCCTAACATGTTTCTGCAGGTTTCTTTGCACATCCCTTTCGGAGAGTTCCAGTGTTCTTGCATGCAGGTTTCGTCGGGGATGTTTCTGAATGTCTCTGATTTTGTCCTGATGACTCATTGACTGACTGACTGATTGAGGTGAAGATGTCCTTCGTAGTTTCTTCCTTCAGTTGAGTTTGTGTTCTGTTCTGGGTGTTCAACTTCAACTGTGGTCTATCACCAACTCGTTTGAAGGTTTTTCAGTTGATTTTGAAGGCAGTTTCCTTGCACTAGATAGATGTGGTGTGAGTGGTGTGAACCTACATCTGCTCCCTTTCTTCATCTATGTAATAAATCTGATCTTGTGTCCATTATGCTGGTTGTGTCTCCACTTTCTTCATATTGGGATGAAGTTGATCTGATTTTTCGTGTGTCCTGCCTGGTGTCTGGTGAAATCGAATCCATGTCACTGCCTTGTGAATATTCTTGTGTTTGTACGAACTGGATCCAATCACTAAATGGTTGGATGGGCAGAAGTCTGCAAACAGTTCTCCATTGTCATTCATCATTTCACTGAGTGTTTCTCTATCCATGATGGATGAGTTCTCTTCGTGTGTTGTCCACTCCGAGTTTGTCATTCATGTCACCCAACCCATTAGAATTTCGATGTCGCCAACTTGTGTGTAGTGTTGTTGAGTACTGATTGCAGTTGTCTGTAGAATTCCTGCTTCTTCTCTTAATCTGCATTATTTGTGGGTGCATGGTATTGGCATTGTATGATTGTGACTTTCCTTCCTTTTGAGTTGAATCCATCTTGCTGTCATGATCTTGATCCTGCAGGAGGAGACTGGTTCCCACTGCATGGGAGAGAGCCTTCGATGCTGTTGGGAGGGGACATCATGATAGCCACTGGAAAACTCAGTGTGCTTGTGTTTGTCGTCTGAGTGACAACACCGGATTAGATTATTGGATCTCCAGTTGACAGTTTGGGGAGTCCACTCCCATTCCATCTGGTTTCGCAGATTCCCAGCCTAGCACTTCTATGCTATACCTTCTCATCTCCTTTGCAATCTGGGCAGCCTTGCTAGGTTCATACATGGTGCAGACATTCCATGTCCTCATGCTAACTTTCATCGAGAGAGGGAGAGAGAAGACACATCGGCCAAGTTGGTTCCCGAAGGCTTTCACCAACTGGCGTCATTTTGTCTCCCCGAATCCAACGAGGAATAAGTTTATTTTAATTTTTTGTATTTTCTTTGTGCTTTTAAGTTTCTTTAGCGGGGTAGGGTTGCTAGCCCTACGCCCAACCCTCCCTCTTTATCCGGGTTTCGGACTGGCTAGTAACTAGTGAACTAGTTAAATAGGTGACGTTTCTGCTTTTTTTACTGGTTTTATGTTAACATCAATAGGCTAATGCAGGGAATAACTCCGGTGTCTTTAAGAACCGCCCTGGATCTTTGGCCGAACTAATCATATGTGGATTTATTAGCTACTTTGTATCGCCTACCATAGGTAGACCGGTGACAATGTACACCCTTCTTAAACAGTGCAGATCTCAGAGTATCAGGAGTAGATACGTCTTGACAATTCTGATACGCAGTGTCAAGAAGAGTGAAACAACGCTACATACTACGAACACGCATCACTTCCCTGAATGGAAAAAGTTAAAATGAGGGAATGCTAAGTCTGAGTTGATAAACCTGTTGTAGATGCGCCTAAAAAGTGTCCAGCAGCTGAGTACCTTGCTTGAACGACTACTGAGCTACATATGACGGCGCAGATTCCACAATATGATTGCCGTTCAACTGCAATTCTCTTAGTAACATCGTCTACTTAACGGTTAGAGGGACTGCGCTACACCTTCCAAAGGCTTTACCTTTCTCCTTCCCATTGGCGCCTGAGAGCTAAGTTTTTTTCAGCTCCTACAAACAACTCGTTCCTCACTTTCCACGTTTCCTCTTCAATTTCCTTTAATTTATCGTCTTTTGTCATTTATTTCTTCTTTGGGAAGTAGGAGCTAGCAGAAATGGCCAGAACAAGTGTTGAAGGTAACTGCGTAGCAGTATTTTCAGTTGTTTTAGTCAGATCACTTCCATGCACAACTTCATTTCTCGAATGATACTATAACTCAGAAGCACAAGTGAATCAGAACATTTTGGCACTTTCCATCAGTGTTTTTAGATCAGGATGCAACGTTTTTAAAAACTGAACTATCAAAGCGTAAGATATGTCACTTAGCTCAACTCTTATAAGTGAAGTTTGTTTTTTGTCTCAACCTTGTTTAAGTGACTCTAGAAGTATCATTAATGTAGTTGTCTGCTAAACGCGGGATTATCAGGTTTTCTCATCGTTTGTAGAATTTCTAATTCCCTCCCTGCCTAAATTATTGGTTATTGTTTTAAGTTTTTGATGTTAACGGAAATTGTTGTTTACTTTGTGCTAGCTAACTTTACTGTTCATCTGTAATGCAACCTGGTGTGGCTCACTCGCCGCCTTACGCTTCTTGCCTTTGTTTTCGCTCCTTTTTTACTCGGCATTGCTTTGACTTAAACCCAGCAGACACTTTAGAAATTGGGTCACATAGACGAACTTGTGGGTTGTTGTGCGATCTGGTCGAAGTTTAGTTATCCGTAGATTTTCTGGAGTTTAACATAGCATCGGGATATCCGAGCCAGCAAAGACTTTGGACACCGTTTGACAAATTTGGAATTTTTAAGCAAAATTTTTGACGGCCTTGGTCGTGACAATGCATTATTGGCAGTAGTCCCAAAGTTTTTTGTGAATTTTCACCTGAAAATTTTAAAGTGCGCCCAAAGTATTTGCCGGCTGGGATGTTTCTGGGTAATCTAAGGGAATTGTAGGTAAGCATTTCGGTTTCGTCGTAGGTTATTGGGTATCTCCACATCTTCCTTGCAGCTTTTACCCAGAACTTGTGGTCCACCCAAAGTTTTCGCCAACTGAAAGCCGTGACATGGCAGGAATTCGTCAAGCTAACGTAGAAACGCGTTAATTCTTTTGTAATGACTCCTTACGCAAACCATACTAAACTCATCATAAATATTCTGACATGTTCTAAGCAATGGTAGATTATTTGGTTACCTTGCACTAGGTTCTCATCTGTCCTTAAGTTTACTTGTCGACATTCATTTCTTAGATGTCGTTTGACACTTGTTTGGGAGGTATATTATTCAGCGTCTCTATACAAATTTAGTATTAAGGTGATCGATTTTTTAAACCCACCTTTTCATGTTTAGCATTGTGGTGAGTTATCATTTGATATGAAGACCAATTGTGCCTGTCGAGGTTGCCACCACAACCACTTCATTTCTAATTATCAAAAGCATGCTGGTATAGGTGAGTTCCACTTGGTATCTGGTCGATCTGTAGTGCCCAAAAGACGTGGTGTTCATACGAAAGCATTGGGAGGGTGCGTTAACCAAACAAAATTTGAGTTTGTTTAAATACATTTGAGAGATGTAAACAGCGAAATGTGCTCCTGAACTGGTTCATGGCTCATCGGTCTGGACACGAGTTCGAACTCAGCCCAACCTACCGTGGTTTAGGTAGCTGAGTAGTATCATCAACCCTCACGCAATCGGTGTGTCGCACTGCTATTTGCAAGGAAGTCCAAGCGGCTTCTGGGTCGTGTCTCTATTCCTATAGCATCAATCGATTTCAGGTTTCGATCGCGCGTGTCTTCGTAGCATTCGTCACATGTTATGAAATGTAAGTTTTGCTAAGACTATCCACAGCTATTACCAAGGTTTAATGAAGTGGTCTGGAAGTGCGTCATTCACATTTAGACAACCTATTCTTGAGTTACGTGGTGTAACATTAGGTTACAAAACTGCAAAATGTGCTACCCGTCTCTGAAGTCATTGACTGTTGGTCTGTTATTTAAGTTTTGTCTAGGTTCATACATATGCTAAGAACCAGTAGCTGAGTCGATGACGTGACTGATAATACATTACAGTGGTACAGGTTCGCTGTTCAATTGTTAAGACTTTCAGCACACTAACCTCTACATATTTTTTACATCTTCATGACTTATAATATGATGTCAACTAACTTTTGTTAACTTTGTGATTTTACAGCATGGCAACTTAGGCCAGTGCACTTTTGCGTATGGTACTGATTTGTACAACCTATTAATTATAAGTGTTAATGCCTATGAAAGACTTCATTTTTGTCCGGAAGTTTATGTCGAGTGTATTGTGTCCTACTCGACTGACACCTTGAAATGGTGGCTGAGCCTGCATTTAATGATGACACAACGAATTACGCTGACCGGAAAGCTTGTTCTGTGAGACCGTAATATTTCAGAAAACTCAGGTAGCAGTAAGAAAAAAAGCAGTTACTGTTGTAGTGCGAACTGCTACGCTATGATGGGGGTTCGAGGACAAAGTTTTGCTGCTGTCTGAAAGGAAGTGTAACAGCAGTTAAGTGTTTCCTGCAGATGACCAACAATGTCATGCTAATGCTGCCTTCCCTATGTGCAGGAGGTTAGTAAAGGTCGACTCCAAAAGTATCACACTCCCTCCTACCAGCAGTTTGCGCTTACTTATCCAGTGTTATAACAATCGGACTTCAACCCAGCACTTAAAAAAGCAGTGCGTGACTGTACTCAAACATATATCCCATTGACCCCACTGTCTTGCATAGCCAATCCCTTTTATCCTTCCCATACCTCGCAGAAATGACATACACGGTGTGGACGGCAAGGAAGTATCAATCGCCCTCACACCTCAAAAAGTATACGAAGCCCAATTTTACATAACTTACTTTACTTTCGTCACCTTTACCTTCATTTTCTGATACCGATGCTAAGCCTGTTACAATTTCTTCACCCCTTCATATTGCCATCACTATTGATGATCCAGTCCACCAAGACACCATTCCTGGTTTCCAGAAACCATGCTGCCAACTTGACAGTCGAACCTTAACCTCTGAACCCCACGTCAAGTCTGACAACACAATATCATCATCATTATCAACATAGGACCAGGCATTACTGCGTAACGGTCCGAGTTGCCACACCTCATATCAGCACATCAAGTAAAAAGGTAGTGAGGTGAAGGATGAAGATAAGTGAATGCAGTCAAAAGAAATATAAAGTACGAGAAGAAAGGAAAGAGGAGTGACAAAATAGTGAGATTCGGTATAGCGTTGTTAAGATGAGGATAATGTGTGTATACATCTGCGCCACTGACTTCGGTTCTGAGCCATATCACCTAGGGTCTCCAACCACTGGTTCCTCTTGTCCCGTGGACCCCAACCACCTAGTCTGCATCGTCCTACATGGCTTAAACCAACAGTCAGAGACTTCATACATTGGTGCCATGTTTTAGTCTGGCCACCTCGGGCCTTTTTCCAGCCTGAACCCACCTCAGCCAACATTGTGTGACGAGGCAATCGGTGACTAGGCATACGTAGTACGTGTCCCAACCATCTCAGTCGATGAAGGTTCACAACCTCGTCAACTGACTTACCTCTTCTCCCAAAACTCTACACCTAACTTCTGCATTACTCACATGGTGACACCACGGAATACGTCCTATATTACGAAGGCAACGGTGGTCAAACACCTGAAGCCTTTTTGTATCCTCCACTTTCAATGGCCATGTTTCACAGCCATATAGTAGAACAGAGCGGACTGCTGTGCAGTACACGCGACCCTTAATAGACAAACGAATATCACGGCGGCGCCATAGGTGGCGCAAATTGGCAAAAGCCAATCGAGCCTTTTGTATCCGTGCAGAAATCTCATCGGCAACTAACCCACCAGGGTTGATCCTACTTCCCAGGTAAGTGAAGTGGTCAACACACTCAACCACTTCACTCTCTATTGTTAACCGCGGTACCGCTGAAGACCAGTCCTGGAGCAAAAATTTGCATTTGGGTGGTGAAAATCGCATCCCAAACATTCTCAAATTCCCACTCAAAGTGTTCAGAAGACTCTGCATCTTGTCAGCGTCTTCACCTAACAGGACTATGTCATCTGCATATTCTAGATCTAAGGAAAATTCACCTGTGATTGGGTCAACGTCTGTGTAATTAGGTGACGAGAGGGAAACCTCCATAAGAATATCTATGATAAAATTAAATAAGAATGGGGATAGTGGGCATCCTTGACGGACACCACTTGATGAGTATAGCTCCCTGGACAACTCACCATAGGCTCTAACATGCCCACAAGTGTTCGAGTAGAGAGCTTTCAATAAGGTGATGTACTTACTAGGCACGCCTTTCAGTGACAGACATTGCCATAAGACTTCTCGATCAACGGAGTCAAATGCCGCCTTCAGGTCGAGAAATACAGCTATTGTCGGGCGTCTGTAAGCATGCCTATGTTCCAGGACCTGGCGCAGTGTGAATATTTGGTCGATACATCCACGGCCAGGTCTAAAGCCTGCCTGGTTTTCTCGGGCTTGCTGTTCCCGAGCTCCACTCAGGCGTCGGAGAATTATAGAACTTAGGATCTTAGACACTATGTTTGTCAGGCTGATTCCTCTGTGGTTATCACAAGAGGACTTCTCGCCTTTCTTGAAGACTGGGATGATGAGTGACTTAGACCAGTCGGAGGGGATCGTATTTGATTCCCATATACTGGCTAACACTTCCGTTAGCCTGACTAAGAGAACTCTACCACCATTCTTGTATACCTCAGCAGGTAGTCCGTCTGGTCCTGCTGCCCTTCCCCGTTTCAGGCTACCTACCGCTTTCTCAACTTCTAGTGTTGGGGGACCTGTCTCTATGTCCCATTCAGGGTCCGACTGGATAGCGGGCAGCGCAATCGTGGCTGGAGGCCAGTTAAACTGTTCCTCAAAGTGTTCTGCCCATCGTCCCAGTCGCCTTCCCTGCGAGTGAATCGCCGATCCGTCCTTCTCCGCTATAGCCTCACTAACTGTTGTTGACCATTTCCCCCCAGTCTCCTTAATAAGTCTAAATAACTGTCTACTGTTACCGATCGCCGCTGCCTTTTCCATCTCTTTAGCCTTTGCTGCCCACCACTGTTCACGATCGTTGCGCAGACTTTTCGTCAGTTTATTTTTAAGTTGCGCTCGCTCTTCATTGTACTCAGAGCCTGCAGGGATGCATTCACGTGCATCCATTAGTTTGGAAGAAGCTGCTGATATCCACTGGCTCTTTTTAGCCATTATCTTGGAGTCGGCTACAGTCTCCAGTGCTGCTTTTACAGTAGACTGAAGATGGCACCAAGCTTCTTCTGGATGAGTGACAGTCTTTTGTTCCGATAACTGCCTAGCCAACTTCTCACTGAACACGGCTTTGGTGTTTTCGTTGTCCAGCAGAACTCGTAGTGGTTTTGTTGCCAAATTT